CAACTTATCTTTGACAAAGGAGCTAAAAATATACGATGGAGAAATAGCAGCCTCTTCAACAAAAACTGCTGGGAAAACTGGTTAGCAGTCTGCAAAAAACTGAAACTAGATCCATGTATATCACCCTATACCAAGATTAACTCAAAATGGATCAAGGATCTTAATATCAGACCCCAAACTCTTAAGTTGATACAAGAAAGAGTAGGAAATACTCTGGAGTTAGTAGGTATAGGTAAGAACTTTCTCAATGAAACCCCAGCAGCACAGCAACTAAGAGATAGCATAGATAAATGGGACCTCATAAAACTAAAAAGCTTCTGTTCATCAAAAGAAATGGTCTCTAAACTGAAGAGAACACCCACAGAGTGGGAGAAAATATTTGCCAATTATACATCAGACAAAGGACTGATAACCAGAATATACAGGGAACTTAAAAAACTAAATTCTCCCAAAACTAATGAACCAATAAAGAAATGGGCAAGTGAACTAAACAGAACTTTCTCAAAAGAAGAAATTCAAATGGCCAGAAAACACATGAAAAAATGCTCACCATCTCTAGCAATAAAGGAAATGCAAATTAAAACCACACTAAGATTCCATCTCACCCCTGTTAGAATAGCCATCATCAGTACACCACTAACAATAGGTGATGGCAAGGATGCGGGGAAAAAGGAACCCTCTTACACTGCTGGTGGGAATGTAGACTAGTACAACCACTCTGGAAAAAATTTGGAGGCTACTTAAAAAGCTGGACATCGATCTACCATTTGATCCAGCAATACCACTCTTGGGGATATACCCAAAAGACTGTTACTCCAGAGGCACCTGCACATCCATGTTTATTGCGGCACTATTCACAATAGCCAAGTTATGGAAACAGCCAAGATGCCCCAGCACTGACGAATGGATTAAGAAAATGTGGTATCTATACACAATGGAATTTTATGCAGCCATGAAGAAGAACGAAATGTTATCATTCGCTGGTAAATGGATGGAATTGGAGAACATCATTCTGAGTGAGGTTAGCCTGGCCAAAAACCAAAAATCGTATGTTCTCCCTCATATGTGGACATTAGATCAAGGGCAAACACAACAAGGGGATTGGACTATGAGCACATGATAAAAGCGAGAGCACACAAGGGAGGGGTGAGGATAGGTAAGACACCTAAAAAACTAGCTAGCATTTGTTGCCCTTAACGCAGAGAAACTAAAGCAGATACCTTAAAGCAACTGAGGCCAATAGGAAAAGGGGACCAGGTACTAGAGAAAAGGTTAGATCAAAAAGAATTAACCTAGAAGGTAACACCCATGCACAGGAAATCAATGTGAGTCAATGCCCTGTATAGCTATCCTTATCTCAACCAGCAAAACCCTTGTTCCTTCCTATTATTGCTTATACTCTCTCTACAACAAAATTAGAGATAAGGGCAAAATAGTTTCTGCTGGTATTGAGGGGGGGCGCGGGAGGGGGAGTGGGTGGTAAGGGAGGGGGATGGGGCAGGGGGGAGAAATGAACCAAGCCTTGTATGCACATATGAATAATAAAAGAAAAATGAAAAAAAAAAAAAGAGGAATGCACCAGGAATCCGCACCTGGTCAGCAAAGATGAGAACTGTGAGCTTCCTCAGACTAGTCCTTTGTCTCTTTAAAATGGGCTCTTTAAAATTACTGAGCTGCAGGAATTCTTTGCACACTAGGTATTAGACCCTTTGCCATAGATGTGCCCACTCTATGGTCCCTCATTTCACCATGGTGTTCTGCAGAGCACGAAAGTTTTAAATTTTGATAAAGTCCGGTTTATCTATTTTTCTTGTTGCTTCTGCCTTTGGTGTCATAGTTAATAAAGTTCTCAGAAGACTGACAAAAAAAAAAGATATTTTTTACACTTTTTATCTACACCTGATCTTTGAATAGAAAATCATCTGAAGTTTCTACTTTCTATATTTTTTCTTATTTATTTGTTTGTTTTTGAGACAGGGTTTTGCTATGTAGCCCAAGGTGACCTCTAACTCATGATCCTCCTGCTTTAGTCTCCCAAGTGCTGGGGTGACAGCGCACCTGGCTTTTCTACATTTTATCTTACAGTCTAGGCTTCTGAAGGAAAAAAAAAAAAAAAACTTTTCTCTATCCTCTCAGTTTAGGTGACTGGAGTCTGCAAATTTAACTGACAAAAAACAGATTAACAGGGAAAGAGATTTATTTTGCATACATGCCAGAGAATCACAAAAAGAAGCAAAAAACTCAAATTGGTGATTAGACTTGAGCACTTATGTCAGTTTAACAAAGACTGACACACTGTGAAGTGATAAGACAGAGGAAGAGAAGCCCAGACTGGCCTCAAACTCTCACTCCTCCTGCCTTAGCCTTCCAAATGCTAGGATTACAGGTGTGAACTACCGTGTCTGGCTTATTGATTCTTTTTCAATGGTCATGTCTTGCTCCTGATCTCTTCTGATGATTCTCCCAGCCACAAACCATACTTGGTTATTTTCTCTTGCATATTCCCCTAACAACAGGATCAATTCTTTTCCGGGCGTAGAATTGGATAAGTTAGAAGCCCCAAAAGCACCTCCCCGTTTACAACAGAGACAGTAGTAAAGTCAGCTAATAGGACAGTGCGAGTAGGAGTTCTGGTACAAAGGCCTTCCTTTGTGGATCCTAAGAACTTCTGTACCAGTTCATTTTCTTTTCAAAGATTTGGACCTTGGTCTACCATTACAAAGAGAGCCTAGATTTCACCAACAGAAAGTCCGAGGTGCCACGTATGCCCTATTTTTGGTAACATTGCTGTAGACAATGCCTTTGTTTTTTATTTCTCAACCTTTCTAGACTTTGCCTGATCCTTCTGTTCTAGAAACAGATGCCTCGTTGGTGAAATGGAGAGCTTACGCCCTTTCCTTCCCCGTCAGTCAATGGATAGTGGAGGAGTGGGAGAGGCAACTTAGCTTTCTCACAGGTGGGGATATCTAGCCAAAATGCCAACACTGATTCTTTTATTGTTTTCTTTGTGGGCTGAGGCTTGGGCTGCAGGGGAGGGGAGGGAAGGGAGGGGTAGGACTAGAGCTGGAGCTGGGTGGTAGCCAGTAGGATGAGTGGAGGAGAGAGAGAAGTGGACTCCTGTCCCCTTACTCAATCCTCTGAAGGTGAAAGGAATGGACAGGTAGGCAGAAAAACAACTTCACGGTTGTGGAAGTCCCTTCTCAGTGTATTTGGCTTGCCTCTCTCTTCGTCGGGCTTTATAATGCTCAAGTAGAGATAAGTAGACAGCCCCCCAACTCCTCCCCGGCCACTCGCCACCACAGGTGCAAGCTTACCACAGTTGTGTGCTCACTCCACCACAGGTGAGTACCCGCCACAGGTGTGCCAGAACGAGGGTGTGACAGGACAGGCTGGACTGGTAAGTTTTGCAATAGCTCCCCAGGGGAGCTGGCTCTGCCTCTCTCCCCACCCTAAATGAGCTCCACTGACTTGGCATAGCTAGTACAAGATAAGGGTCGCATCACTGATTGTTTGAACTAAAATCCCACTCAGACAGAGACAAAAGAAAACCTCATCTCATGGAGAAGGAAACATAAACCCAGACTCATTAACTGACAGCAGGCTGTTGGTCTAATGTCAAAGCCTGTAACAATGCCCTAACCCAAGTTAAAATAGTGACCCTGCTTACAGACACAATGGGTAAGACAGTCCCTGGCAGACCTCAGTCTTTTTTCTCCATCATCTGTCCTCTCCCAGGCCCCTCATGTCTGGGACCCACCCCTCAGACTGAAGCCTTCAAAGAAACATCAGGGCCTCACAGGCCAAGAGCAAGCCATGGCCAGAGATCTTGTCAGCAGTGGGTTACAGGTCCTCAGAGGACAGCAGTGACCTGCTCTCAGCCTTGGAAACACATCCCCTCAGCACTTCTGCCCTCAGTATCTAACTAGCCAGTGGCCCCCACAGCTCCAGTGCCATCACTCACCTTTGCTCACCACAGGGCCCAGATCCTTGGGCACTTCCCACCTATCTGGTTCCATTCATACAAAGTGGATCTTGTCTCACCTTTCAAAAATAGCTATAAGATCCTCTGTCTCAGATACAGGACACATGCACATATACACAGACGCACAGAGACACACACATACATATCCACAGGGAGACTCACAGACACACACACACACATACACAGAAAGACACACATGCACATAGGCTCAGATATAGTCATATACACAACAGAAACATGCATAGACAACACAGACAAGCATATACAGAGACATGGACACACACAGACATGCACATACAAGGAGTTGGTACTCAAACTCCTTTTTAATTTGAGGCTAAAGTACAGCAGGCTGTGCGCAGAGGATGATGTCCTACCTTGATGGGGGTGTAGGTAATGTCGCCCATCCCGGGCTCAGGTTCTGACCTGGTCCCCACCCAGCAGCTTAGGCAGACTACGGAGGCAATAACACCTGTTTCCTTCATCTGTTCCTCCCCCTTACTTCCACTCATCTTTCCTCTTCCTCAGACATCAGGAGAGACAAGAGGTGTACCATGGTGCCTGCTCAAATCAGATCTGCCACCAGGACCAAGTGAAAGAGATTGAGGCTCAAAAGATTGCTAAATGAACTATTTGGGGCCCTTGGAATTTCCACTTTTCAATCAAACACCAAGCACACAGCTCAGCTTTACGTTCCTTTTATTTAGACCATCACAACAGCCAAGGGAGGTAGTGAGCAAACATTTCACTGTGAGGAGAAGAGAAGGGACCAGCCCCAGGGAGTTGCTTTTTGCCTAGAGTCTTAATGAACAGAGAGGGACTGGTGAGCAGCCCCAGATGGCAAAGCATCCAGGACCAGGAGAGCAAAGTCTTCCTCATGAGTGAGGCCATTTCCCATCCACCAACCCAGACTTTCCCTTTACATCCCCACCACAAAAGCAGAGGCCTGGAGAAGGCATTGAGAACCTGGCAGGCCAGAGTCCCACAGGCAGACAGGGTGGGGCAGGAGCCCTTGGGAGCCTCACTTCTGGGTGAGGATGCGCACAAACTCCTCATAGTTCACCTTCCCGTCCTTGTCCACATCTGCCTCGCGGATCATGGTGTCCAGCTCCTCCTGGGAAAGCTGCTCCCCAACCTGGACCATGGCCTGCTTGAGCTCCTCCACACTGATGTGACCATCACCATTCAGGTCAAAGGCACGGAAGACCATCCGAAGTTCCTCTTCAGTGGGCCCATTCTTCATCTTCTTGGCCACCACTGCCAGGAACTCTTGGAAGCTGATAGTGCCATCACCATCTGTGTCTACGCTGGCAATGATCTTCTTCAAATCGGCCTCTGAGAGGTTCTGACCCAGGGCCTTCATCACCTCGCCCAGCTCCTGGACATTAATTTTGCCGTCCTCATCTGTGTCGCACCTGGAGAAGGCTGCACGGTACTGTTCCACCTGCTCTGGAGACAGTTCTTCTGCCATGCCTGTGTATCCCTGGCACCTCAAGGGAGGTTCTGAGTGTGCTGCCAGCCAAATGTCACTCAACCAACTATTCCCAGGGTCTGGGGTCCAGAGCTCAGGGCAGCTGCTGGAATCTGAGACAGTGTCTGTTGGAGGGCAGAGCTGCAGACAGACTACCTTTGGCATGAGAACCCCCCTCCTTTTCTACAGTTGGAGCAAAGGGAGGAGGAAGGCTCCCCACCCTCCACCTGTCCTCGGGCAAGATCCTCCTCCCAGGGAGGGACAGACCAACTTCAGACAAGAAATGCTGGAACTGGAATGGGAGGGCCTACAGGAAGTCTAGTGGGAACTGATTGGGGGGCAATGGGATCATAGCCTCCCAGCTTCTCCTGGCCCTGATGGCAGAGTACCCTACATCAAGGTCATCTGCCCAGGACCCAGTTCCTCTTCAGCTGATGCCCACAGAGAATCTGACTGAGCCCATAGATTGCAGACAGCTTCCTCAACTTCACAGAGACTAAGGCTGGAGAGGAGCAAGGGGATAGAGGAAGTACACTTAAGTGGCCTCAGTCCCCAGAGTCAGCCTGGGTTCAGCCATGGGGTTCCATCAAATTCCCAGTCCAGCACGGGAGCAGAGGATGGGGCTGGCTGCCTTTAGCTTCCAGAAAGCAAGAAGCTAAGTTATATCAGACCCATAGCTGGTGCTGAGATTAAAGGAACATGTAAAGAAGTGAGGGGGAAGGCTTTTATCTTTCCCAAGGATAACCTCCCATTAACTCAATAAGTCCTACAATCCCATTCCATTGCTAGGTCCAAGGTTCTTGGTGCAGACACCCTTGGAGGTGAGTGGCATGCATGCTACACACAAGGTAAAAAAGAGTAGAACAACTGAGGCTGGAGTCTTGCCTGAGAGCTGCCTGGGAATGGAAGGGTAATAGGTAGTCGGCAAAGGCCAGCCCAGATGAAGAGTGGCAGAAGGGTACAGAATGGGGAAGCTGCAAACTTGGCTCCCCTGGGATTTTACTAAGCATCAGCCCTATACACAGCAACCCATCCATCTTGGTTCCCCCAGAGCCCTCTGCCCTGTGGAAGGAAACCTATCCTTGCCAAGCCTGGAGCAGCAGAGTTATGACCAAAATCTCAACTCTTCGATGATCATCCCTAAATGCTTTCAGCAGTGGGGCCCGTTCTTGAGAAGGGACACTTTCCACGGAGCTCACAGGATGACTATCTCAAGCAAGTCTACTCTTGATCTCAATTGGTTCCCCTATTCTCCCTCCCCCCCGCCTGAACAAAGAAACAAACTTCTTCACTTTTTTAAGAAGCTTAAAAAATTCCACTTAAATTCTACCAGCCAATCAAATAGACTGAGCATTTTCTCCTCTAAAGTGCAGCCAAACAACTCCTCCACCCCTGGGCACTACACATCCACCCCCATTCCATCCCTGAGTCCAGGGGACTCAGCTATAGAGACATAAAAAGAAATGTTCTAGTTGTCTAATTCCTTTTGGAAAGCCACCTTGAAGAAGGATCGTGACCTCATCTTTATGCTGGAATAATACAGAGACCTCAATAAATATTAAGCAACCAATTTCTCAATGAACCTGACAATCAGCTTTGGGTGGAGAAAGTTAGTCTAGCCTGGAGACCAGAACAGGGAGCAGCCTGCTTGGTAAGAGACACAGGAAGGGTGGAGCTCTTAATAACTACATTCAATCCAGTTCCTTTATTTTTTTTTAAAGAATATTTGAAGATATCAATCTATATCTGAAATTTCCTTTTCTTCTCATCTTTAGTAAGATGAGAAGGACCTGTTATTAAAATCTAAATGCTTCATAATTATTGTCTTATTATTTTTCCTTTGGTATTAAATAATATTTTACAAACAATATCAGGGGACTTGACTGAGTTCCAGGTTCCAGTTCCATCACTGATGTGGAATCTTATGTCTTAGTATCTTCAGCTATAAACTGGGATGATGCATCCACTGTATCTAAGGAGATTACTTAGGATCAAAGTGCAAAGTTCAGATCAACAGAAGGTGTTGCTACCCTGTGATAAATGTCATGCTAAAGGATATGCTGATTCACCTTTGATGTAAACCTCAAGAAAATATCTCCTTGCGGGGGAGCTTCAAAACGCTCAGTGTTGTCACCGTACCTTTCTTGAACTGAAAAGAAACAATCTATCCAGCTTAAGGTTGTAGATAAGCCTAGCAGGTGCAGGTCCTGAATCTTAGCAACCTTTGACCATCTACTCCAACCCAAGCATCCCATGCAGAGAGGGGCTTCATTCAGAATAGTATCTAGCTGAGTCCCATCATGGGACAGAAAAGTGATGGTTATTATATGATGCTCATATTCTAGATGAAGAAATGAAGTCAACTGGAAGTAAAGACCTGTGACTCCTGATTGAATGCATCCCCCTCCTCTGTCTGTCATTCATCCCCAAGGCCATGCTTTCTCTTTTCAGAGCATGTGAAAACACTAATGTGGTTTGTTTACTTCTTTCCACCCAGTCTTTTGCCTCAGTAATGGGGCAGTCAGTTACATGGCCTCAGCCTCTTAGGGCAAGAATCATCAGAAACAACCATTTATGAGTGACCCACACTATACGAGCTTGATACAGTCCAACTAGAGGCTGGGAAAGGGAGAAACGTGACATTTGTTGCCAAAACTTAGTTAAGCTGGATTGAGTTCCTTCTTCATCAGCTAGTTTAATGCACAGTGGCTGGGATACAGATCAGTGGAGACATAGAAATGCCATGGTTTCATAGGTGTCTTTGTAGCTAAAACACATTCAAAGCCTGCACCTCTGGTGAGTCTTTCTGAGTGCTAAAAGGAGCAATGAATATTGTTTATCCAGAGAGGAGCCCGAGGCTAAGGTGTACAACCACTTTGCTGCGCACCAGTTCTACAGCTGAGCTTCCCTAGGCCACTTCAGAAGCAACCTCAGGCAGATCAGTGAAAAAAGGGAAGAAGAAGTCACAACCAACCCAGGCATGGTGGCTGTACCCTGGGGCTTGTGTGCGACAGACACAAGGGAGGTACTAAAAGCTCAGGAGAATTGAAGCTGAGCAAAAGAGGCTAAGGTTTGCTGATAAGGCCCATCAGGAACCAGGTGAGAAAAGCAAAGGCTGTAGTTCACGGGAGGAGGAAAGAGTAGATTTGTAGGCAGGCTTGAGCTTTTTAAGGCGGACTCTTCTTCCCAGGATGGCCACTATCCTACCCCTCTCTCCTTATCCCCTCATGGACACATGGGTTCATCCCAGTGAGAATGACTGTGGCTCTGGGGGAGAAGGGCTTCTTCACTGAAAGGACTGAAAGACCTCTTCAGGTAGCAGAGGAAGAATGAAAACCTTTCCAAGACTATTGGACCAGTCCCAGGGGGCAAGAAGGGAGAGTAAACAGTGGTGGGCTGTCCTTGATGCAACAGCTGTGTGTGCACTTACATGTACTTGTGCACGGGCATGTGTTTTGTGTGTATTCGTGTGTGTAGATGCACATTTATTTGAGCATTTGTGTATATGTGCACTATATATATATGCACATATATATATGCACATATGTTTGTGTGTGCATAGACATCAATGTGAGATGTGTGTAAGTATGTGTGCATTATGCACCTGTGTGCGCATTTGTGTGCTGCATGTGTGTTTATATGTGGATTTGTGTGTACGAATGTTGGAAAGAAATGGGGGTGGGGGGTTCCACTCAGATGTTCAGAACAAATTACTAAAGCTTACTTCTTTCCTATGGGCTTAACCCTAGGAACAAATATACACAAATAGCCAGTGCTTCCATTATTGTTTGCCTTCTTCTGTGGAACAAACACTCATAAGAAACCAGTCAAACAGGTCTTGGAGCAGGAATTCTTCTGGCACCTATGACTTGCAAGAACCTGATTTCCCCCTTGCACCTGAGCTGTCTCCATGGTGTTGTCACAGCCTGGCTCTCCCAAGGAAAATGAGTCTCTGTGGAGTCACTGCATCTCTCTGGGACATGATCTGTGGGAAAGAACTTCTGGAAATAGAAGCCAGCTCAGCCGCCATTACAATTTTCCTCAGCACTGATTTCAGTGATCTTAAGGACAGCATAGGCCATGCTCACTGCTTCATTCCTAATGCACTCCACAGTCATGCTCTGTACATGTTGAATGAATTGGACAGGTGAACATAGTCAATGAGAAATAATCACCTGGTGAGAACTCAGAAGTCAGAGATCTCTGTTCTACTGTAGGTCCCTGCCCAATTGACAGTGTGCTTCTTGGGCTACGGTAGACAGTAAAGTCACCCCTGGTGGGGGGTCCCCTGAGAAAGGTGCAGAGGCCTGGCTCTCATGGATATTATGTCTGTGGTTCTGAGGTGAGGGGAGGCTTTGGGCTGCAGAAGGCTGCTATTTATTCAGTGCAGTCTGCCTAGACTTGTTGCATTAGTTGTCAAGAGCAGTCCTCTCCCCACTTATATGTTGTTGACACACCTGGGAACTTGTCAGGATACAATTGCTCTATTAACCCTAGGAACAAATATACACAAATATCCCAGATTCAGGGCCCATGCATTGGTCCCAATATTTACCCTGCCCCCCAATTACACAGGAGTTTCCGTGAGAAGTGTTTTGAGTGAGGGATTTTTCCAGATAACTAAAGCATTTTGACACTGATAATACTGGATGACATCTTTCTAATGTGGATTACATACTTCATTTCCCATAATTTAAAACAAATCAGGTAGCACATCATTCGTTGCTAATGACCAATATGACCTCAGTTCTATCATACTATGGCACTGAGAGACTTATGTGGAGTCTGCCTGGTCTGTTGTAATTTTTCCAAGTGGTCATTTTCACCTGCTGCCATGTGGGTAGCTGTCAGTGTCCCAGTCTTCTCTCAGTGTGCCCTGTGCTCCTATTTCTTTCCTATTAGTGTTAGAACTTAAGGCTGAACCCAAAGGTGCCAGGGGAAAAAAGCGATTAACCAAGCTTGAAAATCAGCAACTTCCTTCTAAAAACAGTAGTAAGATC